CATGTTTTTGGTCTGTCAGACTTCTAATTGTGACAACAGGCACCTTACACATCCAATTCCAACACCCCCACCCCAAAAAAACCCGCCAACAAAAAACTAGAAAAAAAAATGAGGAAAATAAAAAAGAACAATAAACAGAAACCAGCAAGCAGAAATTCGAAGAAAACTAGCTCTGTACATCATCTCAACCAATTGGAAAACTACTGGATGCTCAATATGATTCTAATAGGATTGTGCCAAAACTCCTGATATTGTATTCTAATTTCCACAATAATTCAGGTCAGGCTCTATTACCTGAATGAACAAATGATAACCTTCAGTTTGAGCTGGATCGGCAGGGTTTGGCTGATCCAACAAATCCTGAACGCCAACTAAAATCTGCTTCACTGTTATGGCTGGTCGCCACCCCTAAAAAAAATAAAAATAAAAAAAATTACACATATCCATTGAGAGTAATTAATCACAGACAATGTCAATAGTTGGTCAACATGAAAATGGTAGCACAACAAGGAGTTTACTTACACTATCTTCATTAAGAATTGAGAGGCAAACAGTTCCAGATGGATAGACATTCGGATGAAAGAAACCTTGAGGGAATTTACACTTTGGTGGCTTGCTTGGATAATCTTCACTGAAGTTCATAGTCAACGGGTAATAGCCGCCCTCCCAATCAGTCTGCAGAGGTACACGTGATTAAGAATAATTGCTACCAAGTTACAACAGCAATCAAGACAGTGGTGTAAGTGAAGAATCTATACTTTCCCCAATCCATTTAACACTCGTATTAAAGCAGACTAAATAATATAAGCTAAGAGCAAGTCCAAGAGACTCTTTAAATACAAATCTTTCTATTTTAGAAAGTCAATGCTTAAAAATGAGTTCCAAGAAACTCTCTATTTTAATTTTTTAAAGTAGAGAGTGTGTTTGACTCTCCAAATTTAGAGAGTCAATCTCACTCTCTATTCTTAATGTGCAATGATTGCATTTAATATATTACAAATTCAAATACTCTACAATTTAAATTTTTCAAATTACATTTGAATTGATTGGTCATTAATATATAAAAAAATTACATTTAAATAAAATATGTGGAGAAATTATTAAATGTTCATTAGAAAAACAAAATAAAGAATGAAAATGGAGAGCTTGTTGGAATGTATTAAAAAATTACTCTTTAAATTTAAAGATACTCTCTATTATGCATAAAATACTCTCTATAAATAGAGAGTCTTTTGGAGATACTCTAAGGCATTTATCAACTTCAGTTGGTGTTTAAACCTTAGATAAACAAATAAGGAAGCATAGGAAAGAACAACAGTTGTTTAAAATTTAAAATTTATTTAAAAGTCAAAAAAGGAGAATGAGCGTGACAAGTCCTATTTTCGAGTTGATTTTTAAAACCAAGAAGTCGATCGATCAGAAAGTTCTAAGTACAAGATACCCAAAATTTAATTTTTAGTTTCTTTGTAACAGAAATAAACCGGCCGGCTCGGTTCGTCCATTTTCATGAAAATTTGTATACACCTTCAAGCTATATTTATCAAATTGGCAAGTGTTAATATGTGCGCAAAACATTATA